CAATTCCAAACAAACAAACCTATATATCGTAGTACAAAACATTTATTTACATACAATGTCGTTACAGAAATTTTGAGATTCATAACGCTAACTTACCTCAGTCATACATATTATTGTCACCAAACCCACCGTATGTATGTATGTTTAATTCTATACTTCGCCCTCGTGGAAAGGGTTATTTCATATATTGTAAAACAAAACAACTGTGTGACCGTAGCGACTACGCAATTTTAATTAAGGTTTTACACACCGGAGAGTGTGCTGGTCAGTTTTGCCATTCGAGCATAGAGATAGAGGAGAGGTTAACTTCAGGAAGCCAATGAAGACATATTACTGAAGTGATCTTTAAATAAAATGGCTAATCAATAGTCTGAGGAAAGGATTTAGGACACACACACAGTCAAGCCCCAGAGGCCCATGATTACACCAGCATCACAATTTGCAGGTCAAAGATTAAGGGGTTACTTTCTTAACATTATTACTATTACATGTATATGTTTACCTTCTCGAACCTGGTACTCGATTTAGTTGTGACAGTGTAGGACCATTTTATCACATATGACTACAACGGGTCGAGCCAGGCAGATCTCATTTTGATACAGAATGATGACAAAACAGTACTTTTTTAAGCGTTGTATTCATTACAACACTAAAATTTTTGACAGGTGAGCAACCATTACTTATGGGAGCCTCTGTTGCTCGATTGTTTGTTTGTTATGAATTTCGTGCAAAGCTACACGAGGGCTATCTGCGCTAGCCGTCCCTAATTTAGCAATGTAAGACTAGAGGGAAGGAAGGCAGCTAGTCATCATCACCCACCGCCAACTCTTGGGCTACTCTTTTACCAACGAATACTGGGATTGACCGTTACATTATAACGCCCCCACGGCTGAAAGAGCGAGCATGTTTGTTGTGACGAGAATCTGTTGCTCGATGTAAAACTGTAAGTATGAAGGAGTGGAAAAGCTTAGTTAAAACTTAATTTATCATGTTGTTAACATTCGTGAGGTATCATAATGGTTTTGCAGATATAGTCACAGGGTTAATTGTTCTAATATTTCCTAAAACATTTTACCAAAGTGAAGTTAAAATGGCCACATAACTTGTAGAGAATACTTTATTTCCTACTCATAGTCCATGAGCATTCTCTTTATCGTTCCATTACATTATTTCAACATAAAAAACTTTCTTGAAATATGTTTTAAGTGCAGAAAGTAGTTATAGATGGCTTACGAGATGGCGCCATGTTGGCTTTCTGCTATTGGTGAGTGTTTCGTCTACTACTGACTATGATGTTTCCCACAGTATTGTTTCGTAAACAAACAAACCTATCTATTAAATGGGAATAATATCTGTATTATATTCATTAAAATGCATAATAAATATGTATAGTGACTATTTAAACGTTTCGTCAAGTTGTTTGGAGAGAGGAATATACGTCAGTGTTTTTGCTCTTGAAATAGCCCCCCCCCCTAGTGGCACAGTGGCATGTGGTGGGCAGAGTACAGATAACCCTCTGTGTAGCTTTGTGCTTAATAATAAACATCAACATCTCTTGAGATATGTTGAAAACTAACATTTATCCAAGTGAAATATGTTATTATTAATTTATTAGATGTAAGAGAGCACAAACAGTTGTTTTGTTTTATGTAGTTAATTATTTTAAGTTGTATTTCTATTTTTGAGTTTTAATCTTGGATACGGAATGAAGAATATGTAATCTACGTCCGAGAGTGGTTAAAAAAGTAATAAATCACCGAAGAAAATCAATTCTCTTTTATTGAATATAATATATATGTAACTAATATGATTATTACTAACATTAATTCAGTGAAAGTTTTACTCACAGAGCTTAAGATTTGTTTCAGTGTTTGTGTATTTAATTTTTAACAAATGAACTATTTTTAGTGTTAGGCTTCGATAACTTACCCGTTTAGTTAAGGTGCGGCCACCAACTCTTTCTCTGGCTTCCAGTACTATAACATCAATATCCCATTTATCGAGAAGTTTGGCTGCACATAGGCCTACCATTCGAAGTAAGTATATATTGTTAATATCATTTTGATATTACTACATGGTTTGTTTTTCAAATGAGAATGATATATCATAATAGATTTGGGAAATAAATTCACTTAGATTATTTTCAATTGAATTCGATTAATTCCTTAAACATTTAGATTTAGTTAAAAATGTAGTATCTCGTCATGAAAATACTTCACTGGAACGGAAGATTTCGGCACTTAATAGCACTGTTGAAATCAAAATACATAAATAAAATATTTTTACGCTATCATAATTATTTTTAATTGAAAAAATATGGTTCATATGAATGAATCACAATTTAAATCTCATAAAAGTTCGACAAATTTCTTATAGTATATTATGTATATAATAAATTACGATATCAAATGTTTATTTAGTAACTTGGAAGTAATCAATCTTTATTACGAAATGGTGTATAATTGTTGAAGCTACAGATAATTTTTACTCCCATAAATTCATTCCGTAGAGAGTTTACGATGGGAATAAACTTTCTGACGTTATCAACCGGTCAATTTAAATTAGTTCATGGACTTTAAAAAGGTTAATTGTTTTGCACTCTTGGTTTCACTCAGAGCCAAAGCACTGAGCTACATTAAATAAATCTATACATTTATTTCGCGTATCTCCTGTCACATTCTAAAATAATTTTACTGAAATAACTTTTGTACAGTGATTTTCGAATAATATAAAAGGAATAAATCTTACAAGTTATTTTTGTCATTTTAACAGGTGTTTGATTCAAACAACAAAGTCAATTTGATGATACCGAGAATATCTACTATATCACAATAGTATATTATTAATTCACGTTGTTTGTGAATTCGTTTGTTTTCTGTCCGCGAACTCATACATTTTAGGAGCTAACAAGACCAAATTGGGCAGGTGGACTAGTGGAGTCCTGGAGAAATATTTTTATTTATATGGGCTAGTTCATTCTGCCAAAGAGTGTAAAAATAAGTTTTCAGGGACGCTGAAACCGAATATGGCATCGGATTTTGTGTTCTGCCCCGCACTCGGAATTCCAGGGGCGCCATATATCTGAAATTATGTTCATACCTTCACTTATAAGCTAGCTGGACCAAATGCAACACACGTTTTCAGGTACTACAAGGGGGTGTCCCAACTGGAATTGTTTTTGGGTACAAAGTATCCCTGAGGTAGTTTTAGAAAAACTGAGAATGATAGAGGAGTATAATCAGTATACTGGGTCCTCTGTGAATTATGAGGGGCCTTTGAGTGGATCAGGGTTATTTTATGCTAGTTCTATATTATATTGATGCTGTTTCTTTGTGAATTTCTACGTCTACAAACTTATTTCACATTTTTGGAGCTAGCAAGACCAAATTTGGTAGTCGGACTCTATCCTTATTTATTTCAAGCATCAGGAGCTAACATGCCCCCAGTAAGACACCCAGGCATGATGGCAGTGTAACAGTTGGATTACAGGGTCGCTGAACTGGAATTTATCATTGGATGTTGTGTTCCTTGCAACACGTCGGGATCGTGGGGCCGTATTTTTGAAATTGTCTTAATATTCCCTCTTATAAACTAGCGAGAACAAATTTGGCACACGTTTTTCAGTACCATCGGCCGGTGTCACAATGCCTTTTGGGGAGGTGAACATAGACACTCCTTAGGGTAGCTATAGAAGCAATTTTATGTTACTGTGAACAAATTCAGACAATTAGCATATTATCATTTATACACCTTATATTGTTTTCTTTATTATTTCTTTAAAAATACTAAAATGTGCTTAATACTGGAAATTATGTCTATTTGAGTAAGGATTCACATTATGCTAGTATCACAATAGGTAGGCAAACAACGATTTATAAGGATACAGCAAAAGTACCCGTCCCCAGTGACGGGAAGTTTAATTTAATCTATCAATTTAAATTAGTTCATGTACTTTAAAAAGGTTAATTGTTTTGCACTCTTGGTTTCACTCAGAGCCAAAGCTCTGAGCTGCTTACACCACCCACCACGAAAAGTAATTGTTGAACATTTCAGTCATGCTAAAAGCCGCTGAACAATAACTAAGGTAAATCTACATTTTTATTCTTTAAGTTACATCACATTTGGAAATGTGAATGATAGTGTGATTAATTCCTAACAATTTAGTGTAGAATATCCTGCTTGCGAAATAAAATTTGGCATTAATATTATTCATGCCTGTTCTCCCGCCATTTCAAAAGTGAATGATGAGCTTTGCCCGAGTGCGCAGCTTTTCAAACGAGAGACAGACGAACGCTCGGAAAGATTCCACAGTTCGCAGTAAATATAAGAAGTAAAAATTTTATTGATGTTGGAAACAGTTAAATTCTGAGTTAAGAGATTAAACCCTTTACTTGAAACTAAAGCCCTATTCTCTCAAAAACTCTCTAGATTTTGTCGATAGAATCAAAACTTCACACTAAACTAAGAAGATACACTAGTATCTTTCCACATAAAATCTCTACTAACTTCAATACCTGTAGAGCAAGTCTTACACTGTCTAAATTAAAAGAAAACCAGAAGAACACCTGATCAACCTCACAGAATACTGCTTAAACAACACTTGTTTTGCATACGAAGGCCAGTTTTACAAAGCAAAATAATGGACTAGCGATGAAATCCCCTTTACCCTCTACTTAATGACCTCTATGTGTCCGTTCTAGAAGTAGAACTGTTTGGAAATAAATTCACACACCAAGAAACATGAAATCTGGTTAAGATACGTAGACGATATATCGGAAATATACGCTACTGAATTTCACTGAATTCTTAAAACACATTAAGACCCAATGTCGTAATTTTCACACATGAAATAAAATCCAATAGTTGTCTCCCGTTTATAAATGTGACTGTTTGTTTGTAATTAAGCACAAAGCTACGCAATGGGCTATTTGTGCTCTGCCCACCACGGGTATCGAAACCAGGATTCTAGTGTTATAAGTCCGCAGACATACCGCTGTGCCACTGGGGGTCAAATATGACTGTAAAAAGAGAAAATAATAAAGTTACCACCAGTATATACAGGAAACTCCATTCGGTGACCATGCCACCACATAAAATCTAATCACCACCTATCACATAAAATATCCTCCTACTTCACCTACAACTTTGCACCCTCAAATATAATTTACTTATTGATTTGAACTACTTAAAGAATAGAGCACTATCTAGAGGTTTCAACTCAAACATCATAAATAGGACTTGTATTAAATTTCAAAACAGTAAAAAATATTATGCTAACTCTAACCTTTTACCCACCAAAAACATAAAACACAGCAAATGTGTTTCGTTTCCATTTGTACCAGAAAATGCTAACAAAATTACTAGCCTATTTAATAATTTGAGCAATGATGTAAAAACTGTATTCAAACCTTCACGTAAAATCAATACATTATTACCTAACCCGAAATAATCCTACTAAACGAATAAAAACATGGAATATACAGTATCCAATGTGAATGTGGAAATATGTAGGACAATCGTCACGTTCCTTAGAAATGAGATACAAAGAACACCAAGATCACATGTGTAGAGGTGAATTCCAGATATCCAACTTAACACATCATCAATATGAAACTGGTAACAAAATACTCTGGGATGAAATTCTTCTCCTACATCAACCCAAAACTAAAAAAGAAAGACACTGTTGAGAAACTACACAAATCACCAAAGTAAACGATCTTTCATTAAACTGTGATAATGGCCCTAGCAACATAAACTGTATTTGGCAAGATATATACTCCGTTCATACACTTGACCTTTACCTATATCCTGTCACCTGCTGACACCATTTCCGTCACATTTAATCATTGTGTATTTTGTCTCTGTAATGTTATATAAGTCTTGTATTGCTTAGTACTGATCATACCTGAAAAAGACAGACCAATGTTCTGTTAAAACATGTAGTATGTTCAACCATCAGTAAATTGTTCTTACTTATGCTTATAAATCGTTGTTTGCCTACCTATAATTACGTCTACATTACATTCAATCAGCTAGTAAGATAAGGCCCAGCAATATCAATCTCTTTTAAATATATATACCTAACAGAAATGTGACATTATTACTATACGTAAATGATCATTTGAAGTATTTGAAAGTTTATAATATAATTCTTATTTCCACTCGTATTACAAAACACCACGAAGGACGACTCTGTAGATGTTCCACTTATGGCAACTATTTAGTTATATGTGAAGATTCCATATCTGTTACTTTAATGCTACAAATTCATATATATATATATATATATATATGAGAGTCTACATTATTAAGATTTATTATGCTAGAGGGTATTGTTCTTATCATTTCTGTACTATAACGTGGGTATTATTGGAAACTGTACCAACAATACAGTCGTTGCTTTTGTTATTTATTTCCACTTATTTGATAGATAATTGGGCGTATATTTTATCTTGAAATATCTACTTATTTCACATTACTATCTAGTATTTTCAATCTAAACGGTATCCTATGTGACAGCTAAGGTAAACAGCTAACTTAGAGGTCCCTAATATTCACTCACGTATAACCATCCCTAATTCATAACTACTGACCAGAGTTAGGGCACGCACTCAGCAGTTTATACAACTACATTTATCCGAATAAGTGGAGATGACTGTCACAGTTATAATTCTCCAACAGCTAAATGCGTAGAGCATACTTATGGTATATCATGTCTCGAACCTTGGACCTAGTGTTCCCTGCCTAGCACGTTATCCATTAAGCTGTGCCTGGCCCCACGTCATAGAGGGTGTCCAATATAGGCAAGCGTTATACAATAACGTTAGCTTGACAAAACTAAATGTTAGTGATTTCTCTTTATTAAAACGAAAGTTTGTTCAATTCTTTTACAAAACTCATACAAATAAAAATTATCACAGTCATAGAACTTTATCAATTTGAAGTAAGATAGATAGCAACTATCAAAGATGGATTTCCTGTGCAAGCTTACACAGAAATAAACATACCGATCCGCTCCTCAACA